GCAAGTACCGGACAGTTGACAAAAAGTTTTGGCAGGTATTTAGTCAGTGTTCACTCGAGAAACTCAAGTTGGGATGTATATTATCAAGACCTAATAATTATTATTTTTTGATTAATGAGTTCAAACCAGCACTCTTTGAAATTAAACCCTCATTATAGTAAAACTAAGGTGTAAAGTAATACAATTTCACAATTCTGTTATCGAAGGTGTCGAACAGCATTGATCCTTTTTCATATTAATGAAGAGTACATGAAGAAAATCCTAATGCTGATTGTCTAGATGAGTGATTAATGAAATCTGTATAAATAAAATATTTTGGTGGTGAGCAGCAAATGATTGCATTCTGGGCGTTGACCTGATACTTTCGAATTTTTTGCTTCTAATTTTCAGGAAAAAGGTACTGAAAAAATATTTTATGGACTTGACAATATAGCAGATGCAGACGAGATCATTATTGTACACACTTGAACACTTGCTATTAGTGAATAGGGCCACCTCTGTTTTATGGCCTGATTATTATAGTTTGACTTCTATTATCATCATAGGTTGAAGGTGAAATGGATAAGTTGTCAATGGAAGAAGCTGGTTTTTTCAATTGCGTTAGCGTTCCTGATGGTGCACCGCAGACAGTTTCACTCACAGAACTACCATCTTCAGAGAAGGTTTGCTGAATAAATGGAATGAATTTGCTTCAAGTATGTGCTACATTAAATTACCATAAATTTTTTGCCTATTGATGCTTCATACTTCTGTTTTCATACGTGCTCCTTGCACCAGGATAACAGGTTCCAGTACCTATGGAACTGCAAAGATTATCTTGACAAGGTTATAGTCCTTCATGTTTGCATTCCTTTAAAAACATCTATTTTTTTGTACAGAATAGATCATTTTTTCCTATGTTTGATTACAATCCCTATTAGGTTTCTCGGATAATCTTGGCAACTGATGGTGATATACCTGGCCAAGCTTTAGCTGAGGAGCTCACTCGTCGCCTTGGAGGAGAAAGGTTATGGTGCACCAACTTATCGCAGTTCAATTCAAGAAGTCTTACTGCACGTTGCATGTATCTTGTTTCAGTAGAATCTAGTTCTGGCTCCTTTTATTTCAAACAAAAAAGCACCAGGCTATAATTCCACGGATTTATTCTAGTCAGTAAATAATTTATGCAATAGAAAAAACTGAAAAAACTTGGTATATTAAAAAGGTTCTATGGCAATCGTATTGGTGATCTTTATGAACAAAGAAAAGATATCCAGGGTACTCCATTCGGAAACGTGTTCGTGCTTTTCTTCTTTTAAGTTAAGACCTTTGTATCTTGTTTTCGACTCTGTGACTTTTTTTTCCCCACAAGATATGCTCATTTTCCTCTGTGTAATTGTCTAAGCTGTCCTTTTCTTTTGATGATCATTAGATGCTGGCAAGTAAATTGGCCGAAGAAAGATGAGTTCAACTCTTTTAAAGATGCAAATGAGGTTGATACTTGCTCTACTCTTTCCTACTTTATACTGTCTTTTACTTTTTTTCTCCCCTTAGAGGAGGGAAGGGGATTGAATGTCACTATTTGAACCCCTTTAACTTTTATTGTTCGAATGCCCGCAACTTTCTCGTACTTCCAGACCAGTTTAATTATGAGAATCAACTTTGGCTCTGGCAAAAGATTGAATGAGAATACGAGAAAAAATGACTATATTATAAAGTTTATTTTTCTCTGATGGCAAAGCATTTACAGCAAGTTTTAGATCTCTGCAAATGTTTGTTTTTGAGATGTTAGGCAATGACAAGAAAGAATGCAGCAGCACATTTTTCACTGGCATGTTAGTCTTCAATTATATCATTGGAGTTATATTTATTGTTTTATTGGTGAATGGTTAGTAGTATGATGAGATGAGATCTCATCTTGTGCCTTCTTGGTATGTTTGTAGGGAGGATAAGATGGTACTGGACTGTAGTGTCAAGGAAGAAAAATAAGTTCTTGTATTTTATACTATTCTATGCAGTGATGTGTACCAAACACGCACTCTAAGTTTTAGGCCATTTTTCCCCAAATAATGCTATCTAGCACGAGTAGTGTTGGAGCACTAGTTTAGATGGCCACATTTAATAGGTCCAATTAAATGAATCACTTGACTTTGTATTTAAATGAATTTATTATTTAATGTCACCTAATTGCCACCTAGACTAGTGTTAAGCACCAATAATTTAATAATTACTCTTTTTAAATGAATAACATTACTCTTTTTCTATACATTCCATTTAATAATTTACTCTTTAACACTACATGGAATTGCTTTAATCCTGAACAGTTACAGGGGCTGCGTTACATATGGTCATCGAACAGAAATTTAGCACAGCTTGATTGTTATGTTTGTCTTGTGCATTCAGGTTCTCAAATATCTAGGCACGGATGCTTTGAGAGACGTGATTGACAAAGCAGAATTATATCAAACACATGACTGGAACTAATCAGCTTGATTTATCTATGGGCTAGTACATATTTACGCTGTATAAGAGGAGGATTCACCAGTTTGGTCAAGAAAGTTAATGCCTTAATTGTGTAGATTCTACCACGACATTGGTGTGGTATTATTTTCTGCATCTAGGAATTTTCTTTTGTTGTGTAAATTTTCTTGTCTTCTGATTGATGCAAGGCAGGAGAAAGTTCAGATCTTTTAACTGTAACCAGGAGGAAGGGCCCTATTGAAATCTAATTTCTTTCTTTTTTTTTTTTAAATGATACAGGCTCCCTTCCATTATTTTAGTATTTTATTGAAACAGCCTTCCTTGTATTTATTTGTTTAAGATTACAAGAAATAATAATTTTAATTTGAAATAGAGAGAGATTGCTCGATTGATTATAAACTAAATAACATGCCTATTCGAAAAAAAAAAAAGAGGGAGGAAAGGAAAATGGCAGTGCCTCCCCTTGGCTTCACTAGAGGTGAAAGCGAAAATACACTGACGAATGATGACTCTTAGTGCCTTAATAAGGACTGTATTAGACAAGAAGTTACCTTAATAAAGACTGTTGTTCACATCATTTTGGTAAACATGTTTGAATCTAAAAAATGACAAATTCAACTTTACTAACGTGTGTGTAAATCTAAACTATCCAAACTCGGTATGGTTTAGCTCGAATTATGTCATGCAGAGGTTGAATAACTCGACCTATAGTTTGTGTAGCTGACATTTTTTTATTTTTTTTCTTTAAAAAGTCAATAAAAAAAAGCGATTAAAATAAATAAAAACGGTGTTGGGTATAACTGTTTCAAGAATGGGGAAAACCCCCTCCCCGCCAAGCCCAACTGTTTAGAGAGATAAACGCGCGCGCGCGCTCTCTCTCTCCCCCTCGCTCTCAATTCCAAAAAACCATAGTTCTTGGCAGAAATTCATCTGCATTTTCACCTCCTTCATCACAAGAAATCATCTTTTCAGCCAAGACTCTGCTGGAATTTCACTTCACAAATAAAAAAAAAAAAAACTTTTTATTAACAAAAATCGAATGGAAGACACATCAAAACTTCAAACCAATATGCAAATTAATCCCATTCAACCCCAAAAGCCAAGAATGTCAGTTGAACTTTCTGCAGAAGAACTTCTCAAAGAACATAAACACCCTTTTCCCATTCTTTAGACCATTGCCTCAGAGAAAGGAGAATGCATGGGTCATTTCTCTTTTTGTGATTCTTCACTTGATAGCCTTTGCTGCCACAATGATTTTCAATGATTGTTGGAGCAACTCTCATGGACTGTGTGCACTCAAACCCCTAGGAAGATTCTCCTTTCAGCCTCTCTCTGAGAATCCCCTGCTTGGTCCCTCAGCCTCTGCGTAAATCTTTTTCTGCTTTTTCTTGGATATAAAGTTTCGATTTTCTTGAATCAATACGTTATCAGATGTGTTAATTTTGATTTTTCTTGAACCGATACGCTAATTATGAGTTTCTTGAATAAATCTACTTTGAGCTTCCCTAATCAACTTATTATTAATGGATTAATCCAGGTTTAAATATCAATTTGTTATTAATTGCATTAACTTCCCTCTTTTAAATGGGTTGATTGAGATGTTTCCTATCTCTGTCAACATGCATTTCGTTTAAATTTATTTTCAATTGGGATTCATGAAGAGAATGCCGTTATCTTTGTTTGGGTTGATTACATGAAAAGGAAGGATTTTTTTTTTTGTTTTTTTATTTCTACTAGGGGTTTCTTTCGGAAATTTGGGTAAACCACTAAATCTAGAAGTTTTGTCTACGAGGATTTGTAGAAATATATTTTCTATTTCTCAAGAAAAATTTTATGGATGTTTTCAACACCTTTTTTAGTTGATTTCTATGAGAAACAAGTTATTATCCATGAATTTTGAACATGGTGAAATAGTCTCCAGAATATTACCTCTTGTTTTCATTGCGAACTTGAAAAGCCAGCTGAATTTAAATTGTTTATAGTGAATGTTGCTCCTATGATGCTAAGAATTTTGACATAGAGCTGTTTCATTTGGAAATCACCAGTTGTAGTTCACTCCTATGATTAACAGGATTATGATTGCTTAGATAACAGAAGTAGTCTTAGATCTTAACGAAGCTTTCTGGTTAACATTTTGGTTCTGAATGCTAAAACTAGTTTCTTTTGGACGATGCTTGTGAACTTCTACCAATGTAACTGCAACTTTTCCTTCAAAAGCATTTTTTACTTTATATTCAAAAGTGATTGGCGTATCCCAGGTAAAATTTTGCATAATCGCACCATTTTCTTCTCTTCGTCTGATCTATTATGGTTGTAGAGCGGCAAAACTCTCCAGCTTATTTCCTGCTGCTTCAAGGAAAAAGACCATAATTTACTTACAAAAACTAGATGTGCCTCATTTATCTCATTGAGTAGTAAATACTTTTGTTCAGCTAAATTTCTATTACTGAAATACGACTAGGCTTAGGAGTCCTAAACTCAGATGGATAAAAGCGGTATGCCATCACTGATAGTTCTGCTGCAACTGTAGGCTTGATGAAATGGGGGCTTTACGGCTGAGATATTTGGCAAAAGATCAGGAGTTTTGGAGTGTTTTCACGAGCCCATGCTTGCATGCAGGGGTTTTCCACCTTATAATCAATCTCTCATGTATAATATTTGTTGGAATTCAGATAGAGCAAGAGTTTGGACCGTGTAAAATTTATGTCCTTATCTAATTATAATTAAGAAAATCGGTAACTAGATTTTAATTCTTTCTCATTAGTGAGTAAAAAATTTTACCTTTTTTTTCTGTGCAGCAAGGATAGGGGTTATCTACGTACTTTCAGCTCTTACCGGAAGTTTGGTAGCTGCTCTGTTTGGATTGCTTGGTGCAATGCTATCTGGGCTTATCGGGGAATTGGAAACTTTACTCCAAAAAGGTCCTCTATATTTCTATAGTAGGGCCCTCTCTTTGCTTTCAGCATCTTCACTGAGACTGATAATTCATCCGTGCATTTTGCTACTCTTGTGGGTTTTTGTGCAATCTTGATGCTAAATTTCGTGGCCTGATGCCGTACGTCAACTATTTTTCAAACATAGGAGGATTCATCTCAGTTTTCCTTCTTGGTTTTGTGCTCTTATTCAAGCCTGAACTGGGGAAAATGTATCAAAATAAAGGCGGTTTATTTGAATATGATGTCAAGCATTCTGTCAAACTTAAGCAGAAGTTAGACACACCAGTCTTGAGGAGTATTTCTCTTGTCATCTTCAGTCTTCTGTGAGTTTGTGTTCTTATTCTATTATTAGATTATTTCTTATTTTCAGTTTGGCCTCACGAGAAAACTCAAACGCGATGTTTCCTCATTATTCAGACTTGCAGGAGTTATTATGACAGTAGTTCAAGGCATAAAATATGAACAAATATTGTACCTGGTGCCACTATATTGACTGCGTTCCCTTAAAATGGTAGAGCTGCGGTAGCAAAATGACACATTGTGAGGTATGGCAGAAATGAACGTACAACTCGAAAAAAATTAAAAAAAAATAGAAAGACATTGTGTAAAATAATTAAAATGTTCCAAAAACAATGTGTTACCCCCCCCCCCCCCCCCCCCCCCCCCCCCCCCCCCCCCCCCCCCCCCCCCCCCCCCCCCCCCCCCCCCCC